TTTTTTTTTCCCCCCCCCCCCCCCCCCCCGTTTATGCTGCCTTTGATCGCTTTGACGAAGCCGCCAACTCTGGGACTCAGGGCGATCCGGCTTGAGGATACCTCCCTGTAGGGTCCTGGAGTCGTGCTAGAGAGCGAGAGCACACCGGTGGTAACAAAAGTAATGAACCTACGGCAATTATAACGGGTGGGGACAAAAACTTCACCTGGATACTCGGTACAGCTTATCCACAGGAGGTAACGTAGAGCGTTAAGTACTCGGGATGCGTCACTGGTATCAGGTTTTACGGATCTTTTCCTGTGTCGTAATCGTATGCGTCTTCTGTTTAGGCTTTATGTAAATCCGGTAACACGCGGATGTGCCATTTGGGTTAATGTGCATCTCTTAAGCGGACCTGCTCTCTTTTTATCCTCATTAAACTAACACCATGTGTTGGGTTAAGGATTCTTATGAAAAAATGGTTTCAGTATGTCGTGTGTATGCAGTCCGGTAATATCGATCTAGCGCGGTGTACGTGGCGCCATCTCTGTGGTACTTTCTATACTTTCTAGTTATACCAAACGGCCTCACTAGGTGTTTGGGCACTAAGGCAACACATCACGCAGCTCATGGGCTTTGTTGCGCTTCAGTTGTTAGAGCGTGGCTCATGAGTACTTGTGAGTATTTATATTTGTCTGAAATAATGATCAGGGGTATTAGTTGTTCAGAGATCGGTTGTATCTGATTGGAGCCGGAGGATCTTCCTTCCCGGCGAACAAGAAAAAGGTGAAGAAAAAAAAAGTCAAGTGTCAGTTTGGATTTGCATGGATTATGAATTTGATAGGATTCGGCTGCTGCTTCTCACGTATACTGTTAATGGCGACGTGCATGAAAGATGAAGAAAAGGAATGAGAAGTGGCAGCGAAAGAAGCTGCGTTACAAATAAAGTAAAATGAGCACATAACAAAAAATCACAAGCAACTCGTACAATCGATCTCTTCTCAGAGCTATCCTCGTAAGATCTTTCTCGTAGAGATCATATGGCAGATATATGATCCATGGACTGCCATTACTTTTTTAAATTTCTTATTCGTTTTTTTGAAACTTTTTTGTCCAGCTGCCGAGTATCGCCGACTTCAGTATCTTGGGGATATACTGGATCTTCAGAGCGTGAACGTCCATAGTTTAGTTCAATTTCTGGTACGTATGGTTTTTTTTTAATTTTTTTTGTCTACTGGTATGATTAGCAAGGTCAACGTTGGAATTAATTACTTTGTTTAAAAATACATTCTGCCTCTTCATCGAACCTATAATTAAAGTCGGGGGCCTAGATCACACCAAACCCCTAATTACGGGACTTCACAATCAAATATGCTCGGCTTCTTCGTTAAATCGACGCTCAATACGGCTTCTGTAGGATCCAGTGGTTATACGTGTCATAAATATAGCGAGTCAGACGTCTAGCTGAGCATAAGGCATTCATTTACCAACTTTTTTTAGCAAACTGATTGGATGTAGATTATATTATTTATTTTGAAAGTATCGGTTTTTTGACGTAAGCTTATAGTACTTTATTGTTATTTTTTGTTAGAATATGATATGTTAACGTTTCTCCATAATAGTCGGGAGTAATTACACAATAGTTTTATTATTTACAATATTTAGTGTGTTGATTTATTTTGTAAAACGTAACTGCGATACTTTGGTATTTACTGTAGGGTTGTATTGTACTAATTATTATACATATGTGTAATAAGAGAACGCAATGGGTAACTATTAGTGGCGCATTCTAACGGGAATCACTAGAACTAAAGTTTTATTCGTCAGCCCGCCATTTCTCAGTTCCATGCTTGCTGGCTTGCTATTAAGTTGTTTCTCATCAGTCTCTGTGTATTCCTGTCATTCTGTACTTACGTTTTTCAGAAGACACTTCTAGATGTATTAAGAAAGGATTGTGACGTCATCCACTCAAACTACGTAAATGGAGCATTCCGTAAAACGACCACGACCTTCAAAGGAAACCACAATATCCGACATAGGATCGTGCATTGGTGAATTAAGAATATAACATATACATCTTGTCTGGATGATATTTATCGTAAAGAATGTAGAATCAATAATATGTATATTATCTGATTTAGAATTGCTGTCTACCACAGTGAAGTCACTTGCTGAGAATCACCTTTTATTGCTGAAATCCAATAACCTCGTTGTATCATATATAACAGATGTGGAGAAACGCTCTAAAACGGATCACATTTTGGATGACTCCACAGCATCGACAAAGGAAGCGTAATAACCGAAGTTAGAAAGAATATGGCGGTTGCAAGAGCATTTTGAGATGGTCCCATCTCAGCAGTGAATATCAATCTGCTGTTATTATATATATCGTCAGAGGAAGTGTATATGTACCATAAGCGCAAGTTCTCTCCAATTATACATATTGGGATTTTACGTCTTACGTTAGTAATAGTTTACTTCATACCTTAGGAACGAATTCCAGTGTAGAGTGTGATAAAGCGAATTCTGTAATATAAATTGTCGGTAAATATAAATTGTTCTTCCTTGTGCATTTTTACAGTCAGTATAGCCGTTAGCAACAAGTACCTAAGATTACAAGTCTTCATATATAACTTTGTTGATTTAATTAATTCTTTCAATTGGAGCGTAATTTATTTTCGACATTTTACAACTTCAATTTTTATCTACTCCGCAAATAATTTGCGAGATTATGATTTACCCTTAATTTTATATTTTTAATAAATTTCGAAAGTAAGTCAAGATCCAATAATATTTAGTAAATTTTTGAAAGCTTTATGCTATGTTTCAAACTTTTAATATTTCTGTGCAACTGATTTTTGCTTTCTTCTTCTCGCGGATTATCCAGCTATTCGTGAATCGCAAATGTTTAAATATATGTTCTACTGGCAGTGGCAGACACGAGTAGGCAGATTCCCAATGAGCCGATTTCAAAGTTTTATCTTGGCGTCGACGCGTCAACTGTCGAGTGGATGTTTCTGCATTACTGACGTATGGACACTTCTCGAATAATTTTTTTTTAATATGTCCGTGGTCGCAGTGTGGCCTGATTGAATAAAAATAAAACTAATACCCGGTCACGAATCCGATACCTAATGACTGCGAGGGCCCACGTGCCCACAAACCGACGTAATTGTTTAATCTTTTCTAAAATCCGTGCGTATAAACTTAGAAACTCCTTGCATAAATGCTTAATATGGCGAAATTGTTTAGAACTAATGGGAAACGTTCCCAGCAAAAATACCGTTTTCGAGGCTAAAATTGTTCAACGCCCACTGACGGATTTTTCCGGAACTATGACTAATGAAAAGTATTCGACAACCAATTGAGCTTTGCCTGAAGTTACCTAAATTATAATTCTCTAGATAACATTTAATAGATGCAGGAAATGTAAAATTGATCATAATGAATAATTAACAGGAGTTGCAAGGGAAAATAATACATAGTTTTTTTTATTTCCATGTTAAACAATAATGATGTTACATGTACATATAATTTGAATGTGTACCGATCTTTTAATATCATTTGCAAATTCAGGGTCTTATGCTAAATGCGTATCAGAAATTCTCTGAAGATGCAACTGATATATCAGATTACAAATATAGCACATTATAATCAAGGACATATTAGGATTTCGATAAAGCTTATTCCAGCATGTCTAATTACCTTAGCCCATCCTATTAGAAGAATATTAGAGCCATGTTATTCTCAAGTGCCTCTGGACGAGAAGCGATTTTACGATTCACCCAATAGATAGCGAATTCGAAAAATAATTTGGATCAAGACGCACCTGGATGTAGGCAAACTAGCGTACATCGAGCGCAATACATTAGGCATTTTGATTAAGTCGTAGTAAAGGACAGAATATACAAAACTAAGGTATAAGTAAGCTTATAATACATACTACAAATTTGACCACTAGATGGTTCTGCTATTCGTATCTGCTTATTCCCATGTGTCTTTTGTACAAAGTATACTATATATTATAGCAAGGTCAAACTTTAGTAGAGGCTACGCCACTGAACGACTATACACTAATCTATCTTATAGTTTGCGAAACAAGTTTGACAGACTAGAATTATTGTGTAAAATGTCCTTCTGACTGTTTCCAATCAGTGGCGTAGCTACGACTAAATTTCAGTATTGCATTAAGTTCCGATAGTCTCCCACTTATCACAATCGAATCTCGCCGCAAGACATCACGATGTGCTGACGGTATACAAAAGTCAAGAGCAATTATCAGTTGACAATAACTAAAATAACTAAAATTAAAAAATAAAGGGTGTCGCTAACAAGAAGTTGCATAAATACAATAGGAGTAAGTACTGTTTATAGTTAATCTTGCATTTGCATGAATAAATACTAACATCACAATGGATAATATCTCCCTTGGAATCTGTAGGAGTGCGTTTAATGTTGAAAAAAGAAATAGGAGAAAAAATCATTCCCATTGGCTCCATATAAAAATTGTTCACACTGTCCACGTCGTAAATGTTAATCCACCATACACGTATATGTAAGAATCACGTGCGTTCCGGATCGTCCTTAGGCTTTCTTCTAGGATCCGCAGCGTCGATGACAAAAACAGAAGGTGAAAAATGTCTGTTATTTCCATCCTGTCGACTTGGATAAATTCCTATCTTACTATTACCAAACCATAGTCTGCCTGGAATAGCCTTGCAGCTAGAAAAAGAATTACGGGTACACTGATTATCCTCGTCATTGCTAAGCTAACAAGATCCGTATTTCGTTACGTATCTAAAACAAAAATAAAACACAAACATAGAAAGAAATTCTTCCAACACCCTAGACAAAGAACAGGGCGATCACAGAAGCACAAGACGGCTCTGAGAAGTGGATATTTAGAAGTCCCTCCCATTTTTTGTTTTTCTTTTCCCCACTCCATTACGAAAAGTGTCACCGCACCAAGGAAACAGATCAGAAGGGTTAAGTCGCACAGAATCCAAAAACCAAAGGACAGACAGCAAGCGTACAAGAGAAATTCCAACAGAGAGACAAGAGCGCAACAAGAGAAAATTACTTTAGTGAAAAGATTAAGCGAGAAAGTTATTTATGTCTTACAAGGTAATAGTAGAAGAAACCATAAACCAGTAGAAAATTTTTCTTGCAAGAAGCCAAAAACAGCGTGAATCCATTTTCTCATTGAGGCGCGCACCTGCACGCATTTTGATCGAAGAACAATCCTGTGCTGCACTCTTCCACCCTCAGACAACGACACGTGCACGTTTCTGGATCCCAACGTTTTATTTTGTGTTCGCGCTCGCATTTTTCCTCCTCGTCCGTATTCTTGCAGATGCACCTGCATTCGTCCTCCGAATAGCGATGCTTATCAATGCAATGCTAAGCCAAAAAAATGCATTCATTGATTCATACAATCTATCCGTATAATATACAATTAAATATGCACCTGACAACCTACCTCGGCTTTGACCCTGCAATTGCACATGCACTCGGTGTGCTCCTCCAGAGCCACTAGCTTCTTTTCGATCAATTTAAAGGATTGATCCCTTACTTGAACCTAGAAAAATTTTTTTTTCTTAACCATTACACGTTACAAGCAAATATAAATTCCGATACGTACCACTACGTTTCGTACATCCGTTTTTGACGGTTGACAAGACAATGCACTGTGGGTACAGCATCCGCCGCATCTTTTGGCGCGTGTACACGTTGGCAAATATATTTTGGTTGGATCATTATCTTCAACCAGCTCTACCACCTGCAGCTCCGGCATGCACACTGCGCTCTTAGGTATCTCGACCTTGGATCGTTCAACGCCTCCGACTCTACCTAAAAAAAAAAAAAAAAAATAATAATTAAGGACTCTTACTATCGCAAGTATTATATAAAGGGTGTTCAATATATTTCAGATAAAGCATAAACAAACAATGTCCGACGAGTATTCCCGCGCTATATCGTTCGCAAATAGTTACTTTGCCTTGGTAGACGGATTGGCTACTGGATTGGAAGATCATTTGGCAGATGATGTGATTCTGGACTGGTTTGGTGAAACCATAAAGGGCAGAGCGAATGTAACGGCTTTTATGAAAGCTCATAAATTCGATTCACGTCATATGTTTACTAATATAACGCCAACGGCTAGTATAGGATACAGAAAGAAAAGACAGTGCAACAGGTAAATATCGTATTACCCCATAATCTAGACCTTAACGATTAATCGGATAAAATAAAAATTTCATTTTCCCAGGGATAGTACCGGAAGCTCTGACAAGATTGGATGTATCACTGAATGCGTCATAAAGAACGAATTGAATTTTGATAAGCTTCGAATCAGTGACAAGGATCGTGCGATTAACGTTAATGAAGAATCTACCTATGACCTCGACGAGAACGACCTCAGCGCTCTCTTTAAATTGGAAATCACTTCCACGAATATTGACGAGATTGAGGATAATATCAGCAAGATCAGACGCGAGGAATGTGCTGGGACTCTTGTGAAGCAGGAATGTGGCCAGGGTGATGGTCCAGGTCTTGTCGAGCAGAGTTCAGTCAAGTACTTGGAAGCCAACGGGGAAATAGAATTTAGTAAGAAATTTATTAAGAAGAATTCGTTTCACACCTGGGCAAGACCCTGCCGTTTGCAGATCGCATACTCAGTGATGCCCGAGAAGAGTTCGGGAAAATTTGTAGAAGCCGAACCGAAGGTGCACGAGGTGGAGTCTTACGACGATAAAAAATCAAGATTACCCAGTCTTGAAGAGATCAATGAAATTGGTAGCAGATTGGTACCGAATTTGAACAGTTTTGGTGGATACTTGCGACACGTGGATTTCACGGAGGAACGTCAACACTTTTTGAAAACGCTTGCGGATGAGTTCATTCGCCAGAGTTCTGGTGTCAATCCCTTCACTCCTCAGTACGTGGGCAATCGATTGGTCTTTGATAAGATCGGAACCAGTGCGGACGGTCAGAAAAATTTTGTATTCAATTACTTAATTCATTTGTTAATCTACGAAGGTAGCAATAGATGCAGACTTAATTTAAGCCACGAATTCGAAAAACGCGTTTGACTCATATCTTGCGTGTCTGCTTTCACTCTAAAAAGATACGCCCCCAAACTCCCTGGCGTGTCGTTTCATTATTTTTTTTAAGCGTTTTCTATCACCTTTTTTTTCAGTTGGCGGACTGGTACCGTCATGAGTTATATAAGATACCGTTAAATATCAAAAATCAATTTTTGTTTAATGTATATATATATATACTTTTTAAGTTTCGTTATTACTCTTCGCATCAACGTTACTTTTTGTTATATGATCATTTCTCATATACGAAATACTATATCAGTATCATCCGATACGAGATTAGATTAGGCACGAGGACGTCATTTTTGTCCGAGGACCTGGCGTCCTATAGATACTTGAAGTCGTTGTGACATTAAGTTTTCGGGCACAATAACTTACACGTAGAATATCGTGATGAACAAAGTAGAAGAAAACAGAATATTTTCGTTTTTTATTGTCAGCTGGTAGATTCGACACCAGTATTCCTTCCGCAAAAGCATGATAACGAAAAAATGAGAATTACATGGTGGAAAATAATGCGAATAAAATATTAATGGCGAACTATTATTATTATTATTACTTACTGCTTAGACCAACTCCAGTATTACCGGTTTCTACGACTCCTACCGCAGCAAGGATATCATCGACAGAATCCATGGTACTCAAATCCTTAGCAATTTGAATGCTTCTCTGTAAAACAGGAGAGAAATTAATTTATGTGATAAAATTTATATTTTCTTAGTTTAAAAAGATTTGGTATTCTTTCAGAACGGGTAATCACCTGAGAATTTAATGTTATGTTTTAAGTAGCATTGTACGTGTTTTCGTATATGGAAACATACGTGCTCGATAATCGCGGTAGACTGTATACTTTGGAATAAATAAATAATAAGTCGAACAGCAGGTGGGAAATGAGAATTTTTAATTAGTCATTCTTATTAGTCATACTATATGGATTAATAAAATTATGTGACACAGGTAAGCGAACGTAGGCAAAGATTGATCTGAACATTTTCTGTATCTTATTCCGATCATGACAAAGTCGGATGAATTGCAATGACTGTGCAACTGGTAATCGTGCCTGAAGTACCATAGGTGCGATTCCGGCAGAGTTACGCGATGGAGTCAAAATCATCGCGACGCTGTGACGACACGATGATACGTATACAGTTAACTACAGCTTCATCGCAAAACATTCGCAACCTAGTTGGGAAATTATCTGGAATCTTTTCTGTACGTTTTGTTGCAAATAGGTAGACCGCACAGCCACACGATTTCCTGTAGACTTTCAGATACAGTTTTTTGAATGATATTGTGAACGGCAAAGATGAATTTTCAAATTTGATAACTAAAAAAATAAAGTCTCATTTATGATCGTGTTGGTAAATATAAGCGATTTTTTACGCTATCGCCATTTTTATTGCACACGATTTATTTGTCACGTTTAGATCTGACGTCCCGTTTACGCTTTTTTTTTATGTAAACTGATAAGGTCGCTGACAAGATTGATAAGGGGATGTTTGCGTTTACTGATTCTGCACGATCGATGTACTTAATCTTCTAAAGCCCGAATTTTCGTCGTTTCGCTATAAACAAATTTTTGTAACGCGAAATCGACAAATAATTAGCTCCAAATACAAATTATTCATAAATTCGATAGTTTTGATGATTTTATTATGACGAATAAGTTTTGAAACTTTGTGCAGGCTGGCTCATTGAGATAAAAAATTAAATAAATCAATAAGATATCGATTTATTAGTATGTGACTTCAAAGTCACGCCAGGATATAGAGGGTTAATAATTATATTTAATTAGATTACTATTATTATAAATTATGCAAATTAATTGTTCCAGTAAAAAGATGCATTATGGACTTTCCTCAAATTAGGACTGTCAGGTCCGCAACCTGTTCGCAAAATCCCATAAACAGTATGATTGATGAAACTTTTTTTTCTATAAAACTTAAAGGTGAATAGTTGGTATTCTCAACGATCCAAGTTCCTGGTATCGATTCGCCTCTGAATCACGGTAGCTATCGATCACTGAATTCCAGCGTGACTAATTCAAAAATTAATTTTTGCTTTAGCTAAGGGTCAAGCATTCTCCATGTACAGTTAGATTCTTTTAATGTAATAAGTCCTTGGTAACTGATAATGATCTACTGATAAGACTCGATTCAATTGGTTTCTAATACAATCCATATGTATTTCCTAGAAATGGAAGGATGAACAAGAGCAATTTTAATGTCTTAGTCTACTTGTAATTAAATTGTCATAACATTGTTTTTCATATTTATAGAAGCATTTTCACATTTGGTATTTCCGCCCAATTATTCCCAGGATTCTTTATATGGCTTGTATACGTCAATGACCGGACTGATTAGCAACATTAATTACTCCGAAAGGATATTAGTCGACGTCAGAGATACTGTGACCAATCGTCGCGACACGCGTCCTGTAGGGAAAATGCTGAAAATTCTTAGAATGAATATGCAGGCCAGGAATGTAATGCACGTCATGAGTTTCGCGCATTCCAAAAGCTTGCCAATATCCTTTTTCATTTTTTGAAATTTCGCGGGACGAAGTTGAGTGTTACTATGAATAAGTACACTGCCCGTCAGCTTCCTTTCCCAGTATACAACTTTACACATAGGAATGCTAAGGAACGTAAAAGAAAATATTTCCGACTGAATGACTGTTAGAATCCCATGAAAATTTTCAATACGTATTAAATATTTCAAATTAAATGTCTAAGGAATATTTGCTTCGCAGCGCGTACACGCTTATTTTGAATTCCATGTGCAGAAGGTCAACACACACGCAGCCATTCATGTTTCATCACTGACGCTCCAAATTTTTGAGTCCATGACAAATCAATTACAATACAATAAATTTCCTGGACAGAAGTCCACGATTTTCTTAACTGGAAGTTCAAGAGCAAATAAAAAGATAATCAATATCGTTGAAATCATTTCTCGTGTGTGTTCAAGATAAAAACTCAAGTCTGCTGAACGATATAAGACGAAATAAATTTCTATATCACAGAGAATCATGCATGACGCTTTTGGTATTAGATATCAGTTGGAAAAACCAACAACTAATATCTCTAATGATGTTCAATGATATCGTAACAATTCTATTCATCAATAATAATAGGTTGTAAAGAAAATTTGACTGACACACTGCTGCATACCGAAGTGATAGTATTGTTTGCACAAATGTCACGGTGCAACATTGATTTCTCTATATGATGACGTGCAACTGTAAATTATGTCGTAAATGCTGAATACGACAGCTGTGAACAGTGAAAACAGTATGCTGACTGCTACCTGTTTAGTATCCTCGACATTATTAACGACGTCCTTCAATAAGAGCCAAGTGTAACCAACGTCAGGTGAAAAAACAAAGTAGAAGCAGCTATCAGAGGTGTCATAAAAATTTCATCGTAACCATTATCTGATTTACGACTAATCATCACATTAAATAGATCAAAATTAAAGTAAATTTAAAACATCCATACACGTATTTATGCACGTAATATACATAGTACATATAATAAATAATTGTACTCACAGCCAACTCAGTAAGATTGTCATATTTTTTGTTCATACTAATCGCATTGTGATCAGGCCTGTCAATTCGCCTTCTTATTCCACCAGGATAAACGAAGTCCTGATCGCCATGAAAGTGAACTTCCTGAGCCAGAGATATGGTGAACAGCATGTTCAGTATAAAACACTTGAAGCTAATCCATTGCCATATTCTTTTCGTTGACTCTGTCATATTCAACGTCGATTGTCAATAAGTAATTATTAACGAGAGCAGAGACGCGGAGCGGCAATAAAGAGTACAACTGTCACTATAAAATTTTCTTGTATGTATATTCAAACCGATTTTCAGCAGTTATTCTAACGCGCAGTTGTGCGATCCGGGAGAGTACGATTGCTACTAACGTTGGTCGCGACGACGCTCCAGTATTTATGCTCTTCGCGTAACGCTACCGCCGAGCGTCGTTACGTGAGAAAGTGTTGTGGCACGTCTGTAAACGCAATTCTCTCGAGATAGGAACACCTCCCGGTATATGGCATAGCAATATGGAAATTGTAGTTTGATCGTTCTATTAGGTTTTACGGTGTTCGGTAAATTAGCATTAGCCTATCGGATGACGTTAAGAATTTCGTGTAATTAGAATTATTATTATCTGGCCTTTTTCTTCTTTTAACGTTGGCAACGTTGTGGGCGACACCGTAGGCTTTCCATATTTTACGATACTTCGAATCTTTTGGTAAAATTTGTATGGTGTATGTATCTGATACGTCAAAAAAGTTGTTGAAAAATTATTACACGCTAGTTAGAAAGTCATTTGTGATTTATTGTTGAACATGACAGTTTATTGTATGTATAATCAGTTTCAAAGGTGGACAAATAGTATCATTCCAGTAATTGTGGTTAATAGCTGAAAATAAAATAATGCTTAATAACATAACGCGGATGTTTAATGAGGTTACTGAAAATTTACCAGGACAGCGGAAACGCTGTAATTTATAATTCTATAAAGTTTCCCCAAATAGGATATTTCTGTTTTAACAGGAAATAGACATCCCACTCTATGGATATTCCACGGTGTCGGTAAATCCACGCAAGAGGTATATCTGTTAATTAATTTTCATTATTTTATCCACTCTTACATTTCCTTTAATAAGATCATTACACCTAAATTTCATTGGTATTATCATCTGTGTCCTGTCATCCTCGCAGCATGATTCAGGAAGTTTGCAAGTGAAGGAACCTAAGAAATCTTCAGCAGTGTTAAACGTCATTTCAAGATTGGGATTCACCTTCTGACACCAATCCAAATATCCACGAACTCCACAACACTTAAACTTTAATAATAATTTATAGAGTATTTTAATATGCTAAAATTTTTAATGTGAACCTACTGACTGCTGAAAATAATTCCAAACATTTTCAATGGCGATTTCCGGTTCGACCTGAATATTGGATAACATATGATCCTTAGCATTGATCAAAATTTTCATTTGTAAATTTGCCTGCACGAATGCTAAGGTCACCAAGACAACCGCTAATGCAAAACAGGATGCTGCGTGCTGTTAAAAATTTTGATTAAAACGGATACTGGTGAAAAATAAGTTTTTCACTGACTGCTACAGTTTTTCTTGGTCCTTTTTGCAACAAACACAGACCACTCAGTGACAAAATCAAAAGTGACACAGCAACAAAGAATAGAGACATTAACGATGATTGATAAATGATAAAATCCAATATTATCAGAACAGTACTTTTGTGCACTGCCAATGCGATTGCCGCTACCAAATAAACAAGACCTGCAATCTAATAAACATTAATCAATCCAAGATGCATTATCGAATCGTTTAAACTCTGTTACCAGGACAATACTGTTGAGAATATCATGAACAAGCCGGAAGTTGTAGTAGCACACGGAACGTGTCAAAAGGATCCTCCGAATACTATCTCTTTCCGTATTTTGTGGTACAGTGTCTATAATGACTCCATGATGATCGACTTTTAAATCAGGAGTAGAAGCCGTTCCTCCGGTTCTCGGCCAAGAAGTATTTATTACTATAGGTGATTAATGATTCCCGAAATTGATACGTGATAATGAATTAATCCATATTGATTCGGCGCAATTAATTACTCTGTGTAATATCGGTACGTACTTGCAGGTAGCGCGATTGATCGAGTTTTTCGTATGGGATCGTTGGCATTCCAGTTGACGATGCCATCTTTGGTTAGTGACGGATGTGGCGAATGTGCACGACTCGTCGGAGACTTATGCCTGTATTTAATGGGACTTGTTTGACCAGAGGAGGATGGTATAAATAGCTGTTACAAAGGTTAACTTTCATTTTTGTTTATCCAGTATTGAATTTTAATTGTTACTTAATACCTGTCGACCCATACGTGGCGATCTGTTAATTGGAGTTTTTGGATAGACGCATCCTAAACTCGAATCTAAATCTTGAGTGAAAAGGCTTGAAGCAGTTCATTTATTTAAACATTTTTTTTAATGATATAATTTGATATAAATTAGTTTAATAATTCGGACTTACGCCCTTTTGCGGATTGGACTTTCTCGTGAGGTTAGGTTTGGTGGAAAGTCTGGGTCGTCGTCAAACAATCTTCAATCACAACAGCAATCGATATTAATATTTACAATATTGTTTGAAATTAAGATAAACAGTATTTTTTAAATAATCTACCTAGCCAGTACACCATTCGCTATGTCTTCTAGGGAGAGAATTTCATTAGGTGATTTCATAGACATTTCCGAGACTGGAAGGTTAATATCATTCGTGTCATCTGGATCCTTTTCGTTATCCGAATTCAAATCGGGTAGCTGTCGAGACATGTTTAGAAATGGAATTGTTAGTTACCAAAATACATCAGATACTAAAGAGTACTGTAATGCATAAATTGGCTTCAACGAATTAATTAAGAACATGATAATTTGACAGGACCCGTTTGTAATAACGATAGTCGTCTGTTCAATGAAACTCTTTTTATATAATATCATAAAAGTCATTAGAGATACAAAACAATAACGAATATGCTTTTTTAAAAATTACACAGACATCAATATAAATTAGGCGACAAATCGATTCTTACAAAATCGGTTATCGATGGACGGAATTATTATCTAGATTCTAGGTATAATAAAAAATCGCTATTACAATAACAAAACAAAAACGAAGAGTAAAGGCTTGATTCCAAAACGCTTGTATGTACAGTAATGATGTATGAATCCTTCTAAAAATTCTAATGATTGAGTATTAGATCCCTGCTTAACCTTAAATACAGTGGCACAAAGTATATTGCAAGGTATTTAAGATCCTTTTTCTTTCTTCAGACCAATTATAAAAAAAAGATAAATGAAACTCAAAAACCTTTGCCAAATTAAAGACCGGTTGTTTAAGTTGAAAACTTTTCAAGCTCTTTTTTGATAGCCGCTATAAGCGGAACGGCAGGATCTTCTGGCGGAAGTTGAGGATCCGCCAGAATGCGAAGAGTATCTACCTCAGGTAGATTCGGTCTATGAAAGGGCCCAGCACTCAGAGGCCTGGAACCCCAGGCGCCACGGGGATGGGGTCCAGAGTTTCCAGTTTCTGGTATAGTCTCTTCCAAGCATGTTCTCGGTAAGGATGTTCTGGGTCTTGTTCTTACTTCTGATGTTGGCGTGGCAACTGGGCTATTATATGAAATAGATCCTCATGAATCCGGAAGGAAATCAAACCGGAAGTGAGCTCTACATTTTATATGGGACTTACCTGACGTGTGCGGAGCGACCTCTGATTTCCGAAAATACCGTGAGATCATCCGTGGCACGAGTTGCTGCTGCTGAGGCACGTTGGCAGTCTTCTTCTTTGGGTTTGGCATCCCTGCTTCCAAAGAGGCTGAAGGAGTCCTCCAGGAGTTCATGGAGCCTACGTCTGGCACGTCCCACAGGACCCGGTATAATGGCAGGTTCGGGATCGGTTTCCGACGTGGTGTCTGCCAACAGTTTAGCTCTTTTGAGAAATCGCGGCATACCAGAAGCTTAGATCCTTACAGGATATTAGACTGGTGGTATAGTTAAAGAAATAAAAACTTTACTACCTTCTATGGCTTTCTGTCTGCGCAAATCCCAGACGATTGGTCCTACCACGCCAGGATCTTTGGCAGCACTAGGAGTTCTTGTCAGGAACTGATCGTTGCTCTTGGAATTCAGGTGCCCTTTCCTTATTGGCTCCGGAGAATCAAATTCCATATCAAGATGCCTTACCTATATTTAATTATCATAGTATTTATAAAATATATAAGTAAGAAAAATCATATTCTCTTAATGTTTATCATTTCATGCTCACCACAACTGGCTCCAAGACTCTGGATAATGGCTCCACACTCCTCATTCGGGGAAACTGCTTACACGATGGCATGGATAAATACGAATGTGGTGACGTAGTGACTTCGTCCCTTGGCGCATAACCATTTTCCAGAGACTCCAGGGCTTCTAAATTCTCAGCTACGGTATCCATAGAGTCTGGAGTTCTAGGAGGATCAATAGCATTCGTCCTGGTTACTCTACGACGACTAGTTCTTCCATGGAAAGAAAAAGAAGTGGAGCAATCGTTATGGGAAGCGATAAAAAAATATTAAAAATCTAATTATGTATATTGAAAAGAAATACCTCAGCTTCTTTGTTCCAGGAGGTTCTTCTTCTCTCCAAGGTGGACTACTTCTTTGAATATCCTCTTCGTTATCACTCGAGATGTCGTGTACCTCTGCCAAGACGCTCTCTGGAGTACCTGAAGTAACTGGACTCCTTGACAAGCTTCCTCCAGGAGTTTGTCTACGACTGGTACCATCAGTCTATAAATAAAGAAGTAACATTTTACCAGATTGGAAGGGGTATACTTGTTATAATCGATATCGTCCTGGTATCGGCCGCATATTGTCGCCAATAATCACATTTTAGTAATCTGATCTGATTTAATTGGTGAGCCAACCAGCCCTGGTCGCATTTGCATGAAATTCTTACTTATACAAACCACAGTTCCGACTTCCTGTCTGACTAGGTTTAGGCACGCACCACCTCCCGAATTTAGGAAAGAGTCGCTCCAATCAATAAACATCACTAACCCTGGCTTCAGTTTCTGAAGTATAGCCCGTGTTATCCAGTCCTGGCGTAGTCGATGTATATTCACGATCCTTCTTCAGGATACTCTGTGGGGGTGGTGCGGAAACAGCACTATGGGCCCGTTTCCGTTTAGCAGCTACGAATAGACCAGTTAAGATAAAGGCTAGAAGGATGATACCGGCGCCTGCAGCTCCAGCTAGTAACCAGATGTCGCGTTTTCTAGATAAGGCCAAAGGCAGCGTCTCCTTTAAGAAAGCTGCAACGTCCAAGCATCAAATGAGAAATAATTATTTAATTATGAATGGAATGAAAACACTTTTCAAAAAACTTACGTTCGCTCTGAATGATCACTGGTGCTCCAAGTTCAATTGCTACTTCTTGTTCTGATAAAAGTGCCATATCCTTCGCAGCTGTTGCAGCTGGTACTGGTTTACCTCCCAGATGCACTGAATATATTAATCTAGTGGCGCCACCTTCGATTACGCTTGTATTCGTCATTCTTACTTGAACTGTACCTACATCTGGGATACGCAACTTGGATTTGGTCATGTTCATAATATCAGTAAGATTTGACTGATCGGATATGTGCTCTTGAGCGATAGAAAAGAGAGAGTGAAGCGAGCCGGAAGTCTTCTCTTGGAACTGATTCACATTATGAAAAGGCACTGGAGTTTCGTTGAGTCGCTTGAGGAGGAGACTAGGATCCAAAATACTTTCGTTGTTATTTGTCTCCATTGCAAACATTAATCTAGATCTAAAGTTTTCTCTGTCATCTTTGCTGACAGTAGTATTCGCGTAGACTTTTTTGTTATTCACATTTTCAAAATCCTCTATTATCGTTCTGTTCTTCGGTATTCGTATTGCCCTCATATGTTTCACCTTAGTTGGTATCTTTACGGTTGTTTCAAAATTTGCTTCGGTGGTGGTACTGAAATTGTTCGTTACTACAATTTCAATTCTGCTATCGTTTCTCTGCAAAAGAAAGACAGAATATTGATAACATTCCAACGAGTGATACAGAAATCTTAACCTTTAAACCTGCTCTATCCCTAAGAGCTCGTTTTCTGGCAGCTCTACGAATTCGTGCGTCCGTAGAGAGGAGACCAAGATGGCGCTGTTGCTGTCTAGAAAATGCGGTACGGTACAAACGTGCCAGCCTTAGCTCTACCTGAGGTGGTACAGTTTCTCCAGCACGTAAGACAGTCAGCAGCCAGTACCTAAGATTCAAATTGAATCAATAATCTTATTAGGCCACATTAAACAATAATGACTAACCTGGGTCCAGGATCTTCTCCGATAAGGACACCAATGTCTTGATCGACATCTGGCAACGTTGGCGTGGGTTCTATGCAAGAAACACATCCAGGATCCTGTGGACCAACGTGTCCAGGATCCTCCTTACCGTCATCAGGAAGATAAACAGTAGCTGTATGATGAATGGTCCTGGTCTCGTAGAGGGTCAAGGTCTGATCTGGGTCCAGCCATGATGGAGCGTCTTCTGCACCCGTCCAGAAGAAGTCTTGCAGGTGGACCCGTCGTCCTGGTAGATGTTCTATCAGGACAACCTCGTCCTCTAAAATCAAGTGAGAAAACGTGACATGACGTAGCAGTACAATATTTTGAAAATAAGCGTTCTTAGTAATTTATGGAAAGACGTCCAAACCCAGCATATCACGCAATCACGTGATATCGGGCAACCGGAAGTTGATCGACAGAGTGCGTAACGGAGGAGATACGACTAGGATGGTAGAAGGTGGAAATTTATGGTTGGCAGTGCCAGTCGCAGATGCCGAAGAATTCCGACACGCGAACCACATTAAACGTTAAAGAAACGATGAATTACTGATGCAAGTCACGATAATCTTCCTGTCAGTTTTTAAAAAATTTAACTCTACTTATTTTTTTTTACTTTTCGTTTTTTGCTTCGACACCAAAGGCCATCACAATCCCAACCCGTTTCATGATTGGACTTCATATTTTCGTGAAACGTCACAATGGGACACTGGCGTCATATTCATGCTTCAATGACTACCGGAAGTCAGCTCGAGACACGTTGCGTATGATGATTGCGACTGAGCCGATTACCATAAGGGATCCTAAATAGGATTTCATTAAATGCATCACAATGCTTGTATAGAGACATCTATTGTGAAAAATTTGCACATAGTGACGGGCTCGATCAAATGCTTTATAAAAATTTTGACAAAATACATATAATTGACAAGAAATAAGAGAGATACTAATTACATGCTTACGTTGAAAAGTAATTAAAAACATTCTTACGAACCGAATGTCAAGTTGAATATTCTGATAAATTTATTCAGTCAATTCGTAATTGAGTAATTTGTTATGATTCCAATGTGATGCATCGGAACGTATTTCTTGTTGCCAGTGTCAGGACGACCTGGTTCCACGGTTCGTTTGCGTTTCCGGTCCGGAAGCGTCATGGAAGTACCCACAAACATATTTACTGGCGTCGCAAATTCGCGGCTAAACGTCCCATTACGTGTCGTTGGCAATGAAAATAAAAGTATTAAAATCCATAAATAAATTTTCAAACTACAGTTTCATCCGAAATGAAAATCGCATGCGTTAGAGCAACGCGTAAAATGTGAGGCAGATCCGCTGCAGCACCACCGTAGGTATTTTTAGCTTAGGTAGCAGTGTTAAATCAATAGAAAAGTAAGTTCCTATGGTGAATGGTAGAAACCGCCTTTGAATTCTCTTAAGACTCGTTAAAAGTAGCCCAGTCCCCTTCTCCTCTGACAAGCTATTGAAATTACCAAAAATACCTTTACAATATATATCTAATGCACCGGCAGAACCATGTGCCTCTTTAACCATGAAAAAAATAAATGAGTCATAATACTTTTCTTAAAAAAACTTTATGCTAAGAATCCCCTAAATAAACGAGCGTGCAGCTAATCGTATCGATCACGTAACACCCTGCATGTGCTGAATTACTTAGGTTGACTCCTTCGTCTAGCGTCGAGTTTTGAACACGCTTCCGGCCTCTCAATGTGTACTTCAATTTAAAGCTTAAACGCTCGAGAAGCGTATACATAGTTCGTTATGGTATACACGTAGGGAAGCAAGCCTTAAAGTTTACAGACAAGAAATTATAGAGAGGCGTCGCGACAAGACACGAGAATGGTGGATTGCATGTCTGCAGACGATTTAGGTAGAAAATAAAATTTCTTCCACGAGATGAAATGTGAGAGGTTCGAAAAAAAAGGAAAATTAAAAAAGAATTGCGTTATAGAAGAATAATCACGAGTTAATTAAATAAAAATCTGTTACACATATTACACTTCAATAATAAACGCAGCCAAACAAAACTAGATTACAATCACATATGCATTGCTTTATTCATACTTAATGTGAAGCCACGTGCGTGTGATAAAGAAAACTCCAGGAAAAACGGACAGCAAAATATAATGGAACTGTACAAATCGATATAAGGCCAGTAAAAATATGATTCATAATAACCAGTAAGATGTCCTAGTGGTCTACTAATGCACGTGTTACCCACCCTCCATTTTCCCACCCTAGTGAAGGTAGCAAGTAGAGTAAAGAAGCAATGGTTGCTCTTTATCGCGCAATGCACATGCAACCTAACCTAACACAACTCTTATTATTTCTACAGAACATTCGGGTACATTGAATGGGTTAAAAATTTGCCATTTATCGACCGAATGAACGGGACAGGTAAAGGATTGACTAACCTGCACCAGGTGGCAGGGCTGCCTCCGTAAGCAACTCCTGGACGAGCACTGCAACCGCTAGTGATAATAATCCGAGGCGAATAAATATCACACTGTGCTGGAGACAGCAAAGCATCGCGGTATGCGCGCTCTGCTCGACTGATCAACTCATCAGGATTCCTATAAAGGTTTTCAGAATAGTTTATCCCCACCAAGGGCCTACGATAAGACTGAGATAAGGTAGTGGGGCATGTGTGCATCACTCGAGTGGGAATAGTGTCATGGCGGACGCGCATGCGCACTGGACGTCTATCTGATCCATGCTTACTCGTGATTCAATGGAGTTTTAGGAATGTTAGGAAAGAAAATTGTTAAAAATGATTTTTAAACCGATCGAAACAAGAAGGCAAATTTATATTGTACTTTTTTTAATCGTTATCATACGAACCATTACTTACAAAGCATGTGTGTGTGTATGTGGAACCACGTTGTGTCTCCCGCACTCACTTCGTGTAAATATTGTGGTCTGTGTGTACGTTTTATTTTTTTTACGAAATTATCATATTTACTTCTCGATAGTAATACGCTATGCTGTAGCAATAATACATAATATAACATTAATAATACATAGGCGTAGTCGGTACCTCGTATGCAGACGGTTTTCGTTTTTAATATGAACAGAACGCGGGCTACGCGGTATAATAGAGTACTTTATACACACGAGAATTTCATATTCCCATTATTATTATTATTATTAATGTAGTATACGAGTCGTCTGCTTTTTTCATTTTTCTCTTCTCGTCTCACTCTCTCTCTCTTTTTCTCTTAGTCCTCACTCACACTCACTCTCACGACACACTCCTCGTGTGTATGCGCACGTAATTTTGTTACACGTTTAACACTAGACTATTTATAATATTTATATCTATATTCTCGTTAGATGCATATTTACAAACTTATGTACAAGGGGGTGTCTGTTGCTTCTCCCGCAATTTTTACTCTTACCCGTCATGTATTATAGAAACCTCCCTTTCTTCCACCCGCTCGAAAAAAATTTCAATTTTATTATTATATATTTTTTTTCAACAATCTTTACTTTCTACTAGACAACCTATCTACCGTAAAATGTAGTAAGGCATAATATTTTCTTAGTACTGGGATGAGTTCTTGTACCGAGAGCTAACCGCAGTGAATTTCGATTCCATACCAGCGCGGCGTCAGCCCCCGGAAGATGATGTCGATAGTTTCCGGATGTTGGTTTGTTTCTTTTTTTTTACCATTTCTTTATCCATCATCCGGAAGCTTCCTGTTCAACGATGATATACTGGTAACGAGTATACTAGTGTATAAAATAGTTTAGGGCTTCTGTGAATTTTCACTTTTTTTTTCTTTCATTCGTTTAATCGCGCGACGCTCGTACTGTGTACTTATTTTCATGTGGTTTATCTACGAAGGATCCTCGTGTCGTTGATACTTCCTGTTCCTGTCTGTCTTATTTTGGCTTTTTTCTTTTACATTATACACCTTCCTTCGTTCGTACATGTCTTGTCGCGCTCTGCTCAGTGGCTGAGTATTTTTTCTTTCACGTTTTCATTTAACAATTAGAGTAACGAATACTTAGAGACAACTGGAGGTTTGACATCTTGCGGACCTCGAAGCTTCCACGGGAATTATATATTCATTAGATGTCTATAGTGTAGTAGTTTGAACCCAGAGACTTGAAGCACCAATAAAGTATTCTTTTTTTTTTCTCTTGTCTTTGCCTCTTGTGGCATTATAAGCCATGGGCATTAGTCTGCGAGATGTCAAACGACCTAGTGATAACAAGACTATCAAAAAGTTAACAGTTTACAAAAAAAAAAAGGATTAGATTAGAACTAACAAGTGTATTACAATCGGTATTCAGTCAGTCGGCTTTATCATTTAACATTTAAATTGTTTAACAGTTATATTAAAATATAGGCGTTTCCTTACTCTCTCCTACGCTTTCTCTCTCAGTTTCATTTTTATCTCCTTCGCGTGACGCTGCTTTGTTTTTATGTTATTTTCATTTCGTCTCGTCACTTTTCAGAAATCAGATCTGCATTTTGGAATTACATTTGCAACGTTCTATCACCTGGGATATAGTATCTTTCTTCTTGTCGTCGTGTCTTACAGCGTTTGAGGCACTTCGATCGAATGCAAACATACTTTTGTTCGATATTGCCAAGCGTTCGTTTTTCAAATTTGAAAATACGTCAATAAACTCTTTAAGCTTTCTCTTCTAATCTCACTTTCATGATTCCTTAGAATCTCCGTTGTACAAAGCAGCACCGAATATTAAAAGGCACTTCAAGAAAAACCATTCTCCTACACCGTTCCCTCGCGTAATCGGTAGACGCATGCGCACGCATTCTGCGCAAAACACCCCACGCACGAGGGTGAGTCCAAAGAAAAAAAAAAGAACTAGAAAAACCAAGAGCGCAAACGTAACGTAACATTCATTCGAATCGCAGACCAGCTGCTCGGTGGGTCGTGCGTCTCGGTCTTTTCCTTTTCTTTTTTTTTTTTTAATTATATATACGAAATATATATACGAAAGAAAGGAGAAAAGACATGAATAAAGAACATAGATAATGGAAGAGAAATACACACACGGGTCAGAATCAATCCGCGACACGCACGGTGCAACAGAGCCGTGAATTAAAATACGTAATTAAATAAGGTAATCGATCGTGGAATTAAATAATTTACGCTCGCGTATATACCTATAAACAACAGGGGGGGGGGGCAGATAGGGTGGGGAGGATTATCGCTCTGATAATTGGCTAGTGCGTCCTCATCGCCTTAATTAGGTAATAACGAGAGACGAATGGACAAATATTTCAGCATTGCCAACGTTAAGTCTGTGAATAATGAGTAACAGTGCTATATGGATAATGAGTAATACGATTCGGTGTTATGTATGTTTCATATCCCCTAACCTAGTTACGTATTAACTCGTCGATCAATCACGAATAGAATAGAATCTGATTGGCACTCAATATAACAAAGGTCTGAACGAGCAAACTAGCATATCTTTTTCCCATTTCTCTGATTATTATTTTTTCTTAAACCTCGACACCGAGCACCCTGTCCACTACGTACTCGTACCTCTTGGGTTCACCGTTATCTTCTATCGCTTTTGAACCTTTTGAATCTTCTTCCGGTATAACGATACTATCGCTGTCATTCGGATGCTTGCCCGTTTTGCTCTCCGACGTCACGTTCACAGAGTTCACACTGTTCGTACTAAGATCCGCACAGTTACTGGTGACCACACTGTTAACTTTATTTCCCTCGACACTATTTGTTCTCATGTTCGTACTACCAGACGGTGCACTGTTGGATGAACAGTTCGTCGCAGGCTGCAATCTAGCTGCTACTGCCGATTGGCTGCTGACCGGTTCAGAGGCGTGTCTTCTGTGCTGAGGACCCGAATTATTTGTGCCGCTCTCCGGTGTGTCTTCCGGCGGAAGTACAGGCACGTTTAGATTGACTCTTGTGAAGAAAGCCATTTTTTCTCTAAAAAGTAAAAAGATACACAGCGATATAAGATTGATTTATTAAAATGACGCTACAGAAATAAAATGGCAGCTCGTTGATTTCCGTTTTAACGACTACGTTACGTATGTGGACTTACTTGAAGGATATAATGTCAGGCTTTCCCTTTCCGGCCTTGGTCTTGCGAAGCTTATAAATCTCCTTAGAGGTCTTCTTCAGCATCTTTTCGACCTTCTTATCCTCGGCGCTTTTTCCATTCTTGCCACTCTCAGCCTGCGCCATTAGTGACTGGAATTTGTGATCCTCCAGAAGCCAACTAGCCAGGTCGCTGTTTCCATTCTCGCGTGCCTGTTCCAGCCTCTGCTTTAGGTCTCGCAACCTGCTCAACTCGTCGTGAAGGTTGTTCAACCGTGCATGCTGGGCCTGTAAGTCAAGCTCTAGGTCCAGGGACGTCCTCGCCGTCGGTGGCAAGTGGGTGGACTTCTTCGACGCTGTTTTACAGCTAAGAGCCGAAGAGGGTCGTCTCCACCGAAGGGAACGACGCTCCACGGAATTTCTCTGGAAGGGTCCACCCCGACGGTAGAGTGGCATGCTACTGTCACTGTCGCTGCGGTTTAGCTGTAAATAATAAACACAAAGGAATATGAAGATATGTTGTCATTTTTATTGGAATAATAATTTCTTCGGTAAACTGAACTCACTCGACAGATATAATGATTCCTGCTGACCGCTGCGCTTGGCGAGAAAGTCTGACTCCTCTTAATGACGATGGAATTCTTGTCATCGTGAATCGCACCAGGTACCACGCCAGCAGCTGACAACTTCCTCTGCTTACCCTGTTCCGGGATGAATATACATTCCGTGTTGGTCTCCTTATCCTGCGTTTGATTTTCCTCTTCGGCAAGTTCTTCATCTTCCTGTTGCATAAAATATTTATAAAAATAATAATAAATATACGCTCTAATTCACTGACACATAATTAAAAATAATCCGCAGTACTGACCTCGTGTTCCAAAACGTCCTCAAGCACATTGTCCTCCATCATGAACTCGACGATGATACCTTCCTCGTCGCTATCCTCGCTACCACTATCACTATCACCATCCTCATCTTCCTCCTCAGGACTACCCAAACAATTCGCCAGTTCTTCGAGCCGGAGCGAAACCGCCGTTTGCAATTCTTCACAGCCCTGATTTCTGGTCAGGGTCGACGTTTGCGAGCTGATTATCGTGCTCTCGTCACTGCTCTCCTCCTTGGTGTTTTGCACCTGGGCTCCTCGATACATAGAGACATCGGATTCTTGTTTATCATGCTTCGCATGTTTACCGGAAGTCACGCTATTGCTGGTACTAGGAGTATCAGACGTGGGCGGCTGCATGAAGCGGAACGATAAAATGTTGTACCACTTGACGCTTGGAGATTCCGGACTGAAGTCTGCGAGGGAGACTTGGGCTGAACCCTATAAAAAAAAACCATGATTAATACCCAAATAGATGAATCAATTTTTAAAATTATTTTCTTATCCTTATCATCGTGCTATGCACTTACCAAGCACTCCTCAGACTCGCCACCCGTGCACCATACATTAACTTGTAAAGTTTTCGTGTAAAGTTTATTCAGAGGCACTGCGATGGGGAATGTCTCGCCGAAGGTGGGTTTACGTAGATCCGTGACTGGTTTTGTACAGCACATATGACTAACGGGAGGCTGCATAGGTAAAAGAGCCGCCTTGATGTATCTGAAAAATACAAGAAACATATGAAAAGTTATTGGTAAGGAATCCGTAGAAGGAAAAGTGAGAGGTTTCTTCGGCCAACGTTTACTTCGTATAGTATTTACTCTCTGATCTATGTGTGTAACAGAAGGAATCCTTTGAGAAATGCAATAATCAATATCAACAGAGGTATTTGTCGACAGTATCCCACGATGCAGTTGTCTGTCGCTTATCACGAATTCACAGTCCCCTTCTTATACAATGACCCAACGAATGAATTCTCAAGCGGTTATAAACCTCTAATGACAGAGGGGATCGGTGATAATCGATTACGCAACGAGACCGTGCTCTACGGAACCCGCTGGTCATTGATCCAAACGCGCGATTTCATAATTGCATTCCAATTTCAGATACGTTTACCATCAACTTTCCGTAGCCACGGCTCGAAATATATAGAAGTGATGTCACCGATTGATTTCGCTAATAAATTATTCTGACCCACAATACGCGCGTGGGACGACGTACACCAAAAAGCGTACTGGCATTTCCTTGTTTTAATGAAAAATCCATAAAACGTCGATTCAAACGAGGAGCACTTGAACATTTTTTCACAACTCAATTTACACTCCATAGGCAGCGTTTAACGTTCTGGTGATATTAATAAACGATACTTGTATTCCCATAAACGCGTATACGAATTTTGATATTGACACTAAAAAAGAAACACGCAGCAAACGATGTTGAAGTTACGTGTCCGTTTCATAAAGATACGAGCTCGTTGAATTTTCTAATTTACCAATTTGTATGCGCCAAGTTACGAGCGGCATGCCTTCGCCAAATCAATCGTCCATGTATACGTACTACGGTGTATGTGAGGAGCGCGTGTATCGTAACGGCTGTCTCCCAGAGACGGTATTTGATTTAAAACCATGACGTAACAGGCGCGAGTGGAATTAACGTGTCTACGTTCCTTGGGCGGTCATGCCAAAGGGAGAGCGTCAAAGTGCCACCTAGGAAGCCACGATCGACGTCCCACGCGACGCACTTTCACCGTTCAGATCGACGACGAAGGCATAGCCGTTAATTTAACTCATTCGAATCTGATAGTTATGAGATTCTACTCACACTTGAGTATTATCCGGTATGAAGAGAGCGGCCAGGTTCCTGGCACGTTCAATGCCGACGTGAAGGAGTCCGTCGCTCACGGAATACCTGAAGAAGAGGATTAGGATTAGATCATTGAATGCATTGTGTGTTCACGTAGCAAAAGAGTTGATAAGATTTTGTCAAAATTTACCTGAGCTTTATTTGCACCTGGGCAGTCTCAAGGTTCATCTCTCCGAGAGCTAGAGGATCCACACCAAGCAAGCCGGATAATCGTCTTCTGTTAGATGCTTCAAAAACACCGGAATCACCCGCGACACTTTCGTCGGATACGGCAGCTGATACCGATCTAGTGTTCGTACCGGAACTACTTGCTCGCGACCTGATTCCCATTGGAGGTGGAGTTTCACTTATAGGTGATAACGGTGGTTCTTGAGGTAATGGCATCGCTGGCCTACCTAGGCCGCTACCCTGGGACATATTTCCAGATTGTAATTCGATTGGCGGTTGTGGACTGAGCTTTAAATGCTCAGAACTCGCCGATAACTGTTCTTGAATGGCTTGTTGACTAAGTCGAAGTTCAGCCAGTTTGTCTTCCAGCTGATTTCTGTCTAGTGGTGATGTGGAGGCTAAGAGTCTCTGTTGTCGCCTTTGCATCTCCACCTGCTCGTACGCAGGTGGTGGACCCATTGGGGCGTTTTCGTACAAGGGTGACACTGGTGGGCTCACACTGGATAAACTAGATCTTGGCGACAAGCTGGGCTGCGATCTTCCAGGTGATGGTGTACCAAAATTACCCAGGTTTTGTTCAGATCCTCTCAACAGTCTCTCGACCCTTCTATGAAGATCTACCATGTCCACTGGTCTCTCTTGCTGAACAGGCCCAAGACACTGAGGTCCGCCATAGATGTCTGTGAAGCTCAATCCCGAGCTCAAGGAACCCTTGCTGCTTGTTGTACTGAGACTACCCAAACTGGAACTACTGCTCACGGAGAGTGTACTGGCACTAAGTGTCTTGAGCTGTCCCTCGAGCATGGCCATGGAACGTAGAGCATCCCTGAGTTGCTGAAGCAATAATTGCTTCTCTTCATGTAAACGCACTCTATCGGTAATAGTCTTGTTGGAGAGTTCCAAGGCGTTGTTCAGATCCTGCTCGAGCCTCCTGATCTCACATTGAATCTTCTTCATGTCCTGTTGCGTCCTAGTTCTTGGAGTGATACTGCGCAATTCTCGTAGAAGCTGTTCTTTCTCCTGAAACAGGAGCAACTTGTCCTTGTCACTTTCGGTCTGTCCTGGCGTGACTTTTTCCTCGAGATCGGCCAACTGTTGCTGAATATGCTGTATCCTCTTCCGCGCTTCGTCGTACTGCAGCCTCATCCTCGCCATCTCAGCTAATCTTGTACCAATTGGCACCAGCTCTCCGGAAAGATCAGTCTGAGAGGCTGTGCTTAGTTTCTCCTGAGGTAGACTCAGGGTGCTGGCTTCAGGACTACCCTCGCATAGTTGAAGCCTCGTTAGCTCATCTTTCAACTGTGCCAGGGATTGCATCAACTCAGCCTTTTCCTTCTCACCGGAACTCAAGGACTTCTGAATGTTACGAAGTTCCGTCATGATGGCCTGAGCTTCGGTAATGTTGTAGCAGCCACCATGATGAGCACTAAGTTTTTGTTCCACACTGTTAACCAATAACAAATTATTAATGAATATCGAAACAGAGCATTCGATTGAAAATTCTCAACAAGTATTATTGAATAGACTTCATACCTGGCTAAGGTGTCTACTCCTCTTTGCGTACAGTTCATCTCAGCACGTATCTGCTCCAGTTCCCGCTTCAATCTGGACACTCGACTTCTGGCTAAAGCCACGTCAGATTTTAGTAGATCCGGATCATACTTGGTGCTCAAGGAACTCGAGCTGGAACACACTGAAGAAGAGAAACAGAATAAAAATTCGTTATAAAACAAAAACTAAAATTTACTCTCGCAATGTAAAATTCACTAAAAATACTCACAACTGGTGCGAGATGCGCCAAGAGTTGTAAGTGCATTGTTAAGATGGTTGTACTCATCCTGAGCCAAACACAGTCTCTGCTGTTTCACATCGTAGATTTCCTTCTTCGCCTAAAACAAAAAGCATCACCCACAAGTTAATTAGAATATTCACAAAAAGATTATGCATCACCAACAACACCGAAAATCACAATCATTTGTAATAACTCGTTTTCGTATGAAGCAAGACAGAATTCAGCCTTGTAACGATCTAAAGTCCTTGATTGTATTTTTACAAATACTTCAAAGTCTGGATCATCACAATTAAATCCAAAAATGATTCACGAACGATTCCTACGTAAAATCCGATGTCCTTCGATAGCCTAGTGAGTTTACTCCATACTATAATTTATTATATGTACGGATCCATAATCCTTACATATTCGCAATAGTAGTATGCAGTAGCATCATTGTTATCACGTCGGTAGCACTGCTCCCAGTAAAATCGCTGAATTTGCTCATCGTTCTCGTAATCGTTATGATAGCACATCCTCATCTGATACTGGGACACGGTGTTCTCGTAAATCTGCTGTTGATGCGCTTGTTGTACGTGTTGTTGCTGGAGTTGCAATTGTTGCTGATGTTGATGAAGCAATTGATGATGTTGCAGGTTATTATAATTGTCGACATATGTACGATACTGCTGGGCTGGTACGAGGACACAGAGGGTGTACTGTCGGTCCATACCGGCTTAGGATCTTCCTTGGGATCACCTCATCTTCACGAAGGCCTCCTCCAGACTGGCCGGGTACGAGCCCGAAATTCCGATCCCCACCTTCGAGGCTCAATTTTTAAAGGATCCCTTTTTTCCCCTTTTTTCTCTCTACCTTCCCTCTTTCTCTCTCTCTCTCTCTCTATCGCTCTCGCTCTTCCTCTGCCTTTCTCTTCGTCTTCTCTTAGCTTCTTGCACGCCCGGTCTCTCTACCTTCTCCTACTCCACAACCTTCTTTCTACCTACTACACTCTGGTCCTCCACCTTCTACAGCTTCTCTCATTCCTCCTGCTGCACCTTCTCTTCGCCTGGATCTCTCTCATTCTTGTTTTCTCTCTCTCTTGGTCTCTTCCTTACCTTCTCTCTCTTCGCTCTTTCATGAGCATCGTTCCCTCCCTCTCAGCTCTCTGGCTCTTTCTTTCCTCGCGTAAAAAGGCGGGCCCCATCTTAGGGCCCGCAGGACCGTAACAAGGAGCCACGCTCCATCCTTGCCGTCCTAAGGATTCCCAAGAAGGAAAATAAATTCGTTGACGTTGAAGTGAGAAAAAGGAAAAGCGTAAGATAGCAAGAGGATGTAAAATATTGAATATATATATACACATTCAAGTGTAGCAATGGTAATGCCGGAAAATCCAATAATCAAAGATACAACGATTTATCAAAATTCTTTCAATAGAAAAAATTGTTGTTTAAAGAGCGCCAGGCATTTATAAAGTTGGACGGTGACGCTGGGTGCTTCGAATTGCCCGATACGCTACTGGGGTACCGGTCGAGTGGAGGGAATGAACAGGGCCTGTTGGAGGTCACGATACGACCCTGCAGTGGTCCCATCTCGGATGGTAGTAGAACCGACCTTGAGTCGCGCATTATGCCCCGTCCTTGTTGGAATTTCTGGGCCCATGGGCCCATCAGCATGTCTCCGATCATCTAAGAGAGGGCCCCCAGGTCTCCCTCGCTACACGTGAAACTCAGGGGCCTCTCGCGCGCATATTTCTCGGTCCACTATTATTGTGGGACTCACAGATGCTATCGTGGTTGAGCCGGTTCGCTCGCCTCGCGGAAAAAGATCCTGTCTCCCATATCTTTCTCTCTCGCTCTCACGGCATTTATCTATCTCTTTTTTTCTCTCCTTTCATCCTCGTCTTCCTCCTTATCTATTACTTCTTCGTCCCTTCCATCAAACCCAGCACTTCGTCCCTCTCGCGAAAAATATTCCGGCGACCATTTCCGGACGTTTTTTCGTCTGCAATATCCGGAGGCTCGGATTCTCATGAAGGAATTCCTCCCTCTGTCCAGCCCAATGTCCAAATAATAAAAGCCACCGCGTAGAATTTCAGCGCCGCGACAAACACATTCCGATCTATCCGTCTAGGTGGATGCCAGGTTTTAAAAAGATGAGAAAAAGGTAAAAAAAAGGAACGGTCAGATATTCTCGTGTTACGCCGGCAATTTATAACGGTCAGTTTGGTATGCTAGCGCTGAATGCCTAACTGATTGCCGAATTCCGTAAGTGACTGCCTATATAACACTGCGGATTATACAATGCGCCACAATGGTATGAAGCGTAAAGAAAGAATTTTGAGGGTTACGATGCATATGCACATATTTTATTTGAAAAAAATACGATATATAACTCTACAAATTTATAGGACCCGTTAAAGCATTGATGCCTGCGCTTAACAAGAATATTTGGCTAGCGACAATTGGAAAATGACGTTGGTCAATTGGGATCATGACAATGAAAAGGTTTCTGAAATAATTTGTACTTCTTGTAACGTCATATCAGTGGCTCCATCTGGATATATTCGCGGCAGAGAGTCGGAAGAGAATCGGACCTGTCGCATATGGGCCCAGTGAGATGGATAAAATCGCACACGCCACTCGTGCGTGCTTACAGCGATCTTTCTTTGGAGAGTGAACGATAAAGAGAGTATAGAATTCTGGGGCAGATAGAAATGATAGAAAGAACAGAGAATGATGTTGATGATGTAGAGAAACGTGAAGAGGGAGGAGACAGAGGCAATGGTGGATTGCACTGGAGCGTGCGCCTCGAAGGGAATACAAAAGGTACTGAGCTGTAGAGGGCTGTAGAAGTAGGCTCCCTCTCGCGGGAGAGACACGAAGAGAGTAGAGAAAATGATGGTAGTAAAAGAGTAAGGAGGAAGGCAGGAGGATATCGAGGAGCCCCGGAGAGTAGAGCCTGGGTATATGTGTAGGGAGTAGTAAAGGGGCCCCGAGTAAGAGGGATAGAGGTGGACGAGGAGGTCTTGGAATGCAGCCGAGTGAGGAATTCCGGCCCCTCCCGCATATTTATCTGAGCGCGGCTCGGGGCCCGGGGCCCCGGTGAGTGAGGCCCCTTTTATAGTGCGCACCAGGGTGGGAGCACACACACGGCAGAGGTCCACTATGGGTACGCTAGCAAGAGCAACGCTAGTGTTTATAATTGGGGATTCGTGTTTCGTCGCAAACCGTCCAGGCAGATGGTGAGGCCCCTCGAGGCTGGCCCAGAAAACTACGGAACGAACCGTCGGAAGTGGCTGAGGCCTCAAGCTTAGTTTCTGGCAAATTAATGCCTTCCACGTTGCCTGGCTTCTCTTTCCTTTCGCTCTGGCCCAGGAAATTCTGCGGGGTCCCATCGCATAGGGCCCCTCTTCTTGCACGGATAACCTCGCGAAATGCCGTCTCGCGTTTTAATGCGGTGTAAAAAGGTGGCAGCAATTTCATACGATTTCCTTCAATCAAAACCTTTCGGGGAATTCGTAGGAGGGGGGAATGACGCTCGACAGACCCGAACTTGATGAAGGTCCGAAACTGGGGCCTCACTACAAAAAAGCGAGCGAGCGAGTCAGCGAGGAGATTAAAATGATTAGGTTTAGGGTTAGAGCGCTACCGGGCGCTCACGTGATCGCCCTGTGGCTACCGAATTCCGTAGGAAATGGGCCCGACGGCCCTCCAACTACAAACACTCTCTGGATCTCCCCACAACCCAAATAGCCCAATCCACTGGAGACTATTGCACCAATTTCATGGATTGCTAAATAATGATTGGGTCGACGTTTTTTTACGAGCCTCTCTTCCCGAAAAGGACGCTCTTGTGGAATATTCCAAAAAATTTCATTTCTAACCACGGACAAACCACACACCTAAAACTCCCTGACAACAAAAAAAAAATATTGCCCTAATACAACAAATAATAATAATCCCAAAGCTATCCTCTATGCATCTCTAGCTGTATGCCCGGCAAATAAAAAAATAATGAAGAAAAATCTCAAGACCCGCGTACAACGACCTTAGGTCCTGCCAAACGAATCCGATCTTTGACTATGGGGGTACACTGGAACCTCGTATTTTCGTGGGGACTCACCGGTTACGTGATTCGAGATTTCCACTTGAGAGCCAGCCCAAGTGTAAGAGATGGTAGAAGAGGAGAGACATACGGATTCTAAGAGTAAGAAAGAGGAGCAAAGGAATATGGAGAAGGAGAAGACGTTAAAGTATAGAAGGAGAAGGAGAAGGCTGACGCTCAAGAAAGGAATTTCTTTGGCCGGACAGCTGCTGCCGGGCTGCCGAACAAAGAGCAAAGGATATAAAAGAAGAATTTCTCGAGGCGCACGTGGCCCCCGCGAGTACGGACTCTACGGAGCCGAGGCAGAGGCCGAGATAGGGGGCACACGCGACCCCCAGTACACAATGCTCTACAGGACGATGAGTGCAGCAGAGTCTCGATAGTCTCAACAATGACATATTGATATCGCCATGGCAGCCCGTTACAGAATGTCTAACGAAGACCCAGAGAATTTTTCTAACGCTCTACTTCCAGGAAGCCAAGCTAATCCTAACCTTTCGTATACAATATATCATACCACCGTGCGTATACACCCTGCTACGTCAACTTACAAGAGAACAAACGTCCCATTCCGGGAAAGCACGCGTAACCGTGCTACGAACCTTTCTCAGAAATAGCCACGCGAAGTTCTCCACTCCACGAAGATCATCTTGTGGACCAGAATGATAGTTTGGCGCCGTTTCTTCATGCTTTACGATCCTACCACTGTATTTCATGTATCCCCGGGCATTCGTGCTACGTCATATTTCTCTACAGAGACAGACGTAGAATCAACGAAGAATGGTCTTCAGGAATTACTTGTTCGGCTCATTCCATGTCATCTCCAGGAAGCGAGACCGTATATCGTAGCTACAGATTACACAGTTCGCAGGAAAGGATACTTAGTGTAGTATAGGATTACGATAATGGTCCAGAGACGATATCGTGAGTGCACGCGTGCGTACATATCCTCCAAGTAAAAGATACACCGTGAAAGATTAACTTAACAGCAATTGTGAAGGTGCCACCGTACAA